CCCATAGAGTGACACAGACACCCATAGACTCACACAGAGACCCATAGAGTGATACAGACACCCATAGACTCCCACAGAGACCCATAGAGTGACACAGACACCCATAGACTCACACAGAGACCCATAGAGTGACACAGACACCCATAGACTTACACAGAGACCCATAGAGAGACACAGACATCCATAGACTCACACAGAGACCCATAGAGTGACACAGACACCCATAGACTCACACAGAGACCCATAGTGTGATACAGACACCCATAGACTCCCACAGAGACCCATAGAGTGACACAGACACCCATAGACTCACACAGAGACCCATAGAGTGACACAGACACCCATAGACTTACACAGAGACCCATAGAGAGACACAGACATCCATAGACTCACACAGAGACCCATAGAGTGACACAGACACGCATAGACTCACACAGAGACCCTTAGAGTGACACAGACACCCATAGACTCACACAGAGACCCATAGAGTGACACAGACATCCATAGACTCACACAGAGACCCATAGAGAGACACAGACATCCATAGACTCACACAGAGACCCATAGAGTGACACAGACATCCATAGACTCACACAGAGACCCATAGAGTGACACAGACACCCATAGACTCACACAGAGACCCATAGAGTGACACTGACACGCATAGACGCACACAGAGACCCATAGAGTGACACAGACACGCATAGACTCACACAGAGATCCATAGAGTGACACAGACACCCACAGACTCACACAGAGACCCATAGAGTGACACAGACACCCATAGACTCACACAGAGACCCATAGAGTGACACAGACACCCATAGACTCACACAGAGACCCATAGAGTGACACAGACACCCATAGACTCACACAGAGATCCATAGAGTGACACAGACACCCATAGACTCACACAGAGACCCATAGCGTGACACAGACACCCATAGACTCACACAGAGATCCATAGAGTGACACAGACATCCATAGACTCACACAGAGACCCATAGAGTGGCACAGACACCCATAGACTCACACAGAGACCCATAGAGTGACACAGACATCCATAGACTCACACAGAGATACATAGAGTGACACAGACATCCATAGTCTCACACAGAGACCCATAGAGTGACACAGACATCCATAGACTCACGCAGAGACCCATAGAGTGACACAGCCACCCATAGACTCACGCAGAGACCCATAGAGTGACACAGACACCCATAGACTCACACAGAGACCCATAGAGTGACACAGACATCCATAGACTCACACAGAGACCCATAGAGTGACACAGACACCCATAGACTCACACATAGACCCATAGAGTGACACAGACATCCATAGACTCACACAGAGACCCATAGAGTGACACAGACACCCATAGACTCACACAGAGACCCATAGAGTGACATAGACACCCATAGACTCACACAGAGACCCATAGAGTGACACAGACACCCATAGACTCACACAGAGACCCATAGAGTGACACAGACACCCATAGACTCACACAGAGACCCATAGAGTGACACAGACACCCATAGAGTGACACAGACACCCATAGAGTGACACAGACACCCATAGACTCACACATAGACCCATAGAGTGACACAGACACCCATAGACTCACACAGAGACCCATAGAGTGACACAGCCACCCATAGACTCACGCAGAGACCCATAGAGTGACACAGACACCCATAGACTCACACAGAGACCCATAGAGTGACACAGACATCCATAGACTCACACAGAGACCCATAGAGTGACACAGACATCCATAGACTCACACAGAGACCCATAGAGTGACACAGACACCCATAGACTCACACAGAGACCCATAGAGTGACACAGACACCCATAGACTCACACAGAGACCCATAGAGTGACACAGACATCCATAGACTCACACAGAGACCCATAGAGTGACACAGACACCCATAGACTCACACAGAGACCCATAGAGTGACACAGACACCCATAGACTCACACAGAGACCCATAGAGTGACACAGACACCCATAGACTCACACAGAGACCCATAGAGTGACACAGACACCCATAGAGTGACACAGACACCCATAGATTCACACAGAGACCCATAGAGTGACACAGACACCCATAGACTCACACAGAGACCCATAGAGTGACACAGCCACCCATAGACTCACGCAGAGACCCATAGAGTGACACAGACACCCATAGACTCACACAGAGACCCATAGAGTGACACAGACATCCATAGACTCACACAGAGACCCATAGAGTGACACAGACATCCATAGACTCACACAGAGACCCATAGAGTGACACAGACACCCATAGACTCACACAGAGACCCATAGAGTGACACAGACACCCATAGACTCACACAGAGACCCATAGAGTGACACAGACACCCATAGACTCACGCAGAGACCCATAGAGTGACACAGACATCCATAGACTCACACAGAGACCCATAGAGTGACACAGACACCCATAGACTCACGCAGAGACCCATAGAGTGACACAGACATCCATAGACTCACACAGAGACCCATAGAGTGACACAGACACCCATAGACTCACACAGAGACCCATAGAGTGACACAGACACCCATAGACTCACACAGAGACCCATAGAGTGACACAGACACCCATAGACTCACGCAGAGACCCATAGAGTGACACAGAGATCCATAGACTCACACAGAGACCCATAGAGTGACACAGACACCCATAGACTCACGCAGAGACCCATAGAGTGACACAGACACCCATAGACTCACACAGAGACCCATAGAGTGACACAGACACCCATAGACTCACACAGAGACCCATAGTTCGTTGTCCTTCCCCCGCACCTCTGATTACGCTGCACGGCTGGCCACGTATGACGTGAAATAAGTTCAACGTGCACACGAACACGGCACAGACGCGGCGCACAGCAGCGGGCGAACGGCGACGATGTGGGCGTGGCAGCGCGCTCCACCAACTCGCGTGACAGAGAGAGACAAGTTGGGGGGCGGGCGAGGCCCAGGGCGCGCGCATCCTCTAAGCACGTCTGATGCCCCCTCCCACCCTCCACTCACCCCCCACTCCCATATACCCCCCACACCCCCCACTCTCCTATACCCCCCACACCCCCCACTCCACCCCACTACCCTATACCCCTAAACCCCCCACTCCGCTATACCTCCCACACCCCCACTCCCCCCACTGCCCTATACCCCCCACACCCCCACTCCCCCCACTGCCCTATACCCCCCACACCCCCACTCCCCCCACTCCCCTACACCCCCCACACCCCCCACTCCCCCCACTCCCCCCCACATCCCCCACTCCCCAGTAATATTTTCTAAAGGAAAACAATGTTAAAGACAAATAAAATGTATTTTTCACAGGGCTAACGACAAATACAATTCAAACATTCACCAACGAAATAACTTTCCACCTGGTCTCTGGAGGCCCCCCTACAGCAGGTGGAGGCCAACTGGGCCGCAGCCCCCAAAAGCCCCTCCCGTCCATAATTTCGATGGGATCATTGGGGTTTATTGGTAATAAATCGGCATTTTGCGACCTCCACTGCCACTGTGTAGCAGATTATTACGTGCCAGGGACTCTTGTGAGACTGTAGGACAATAGTCTGGGTCAAGGCAAAGCGGTTCTAAGCGACTCGCAGAATTGTGCGCAGTTGCGTCTACAGAGTCCACGACTTGCCTGAAGGCATCGACACCTCCAGCGAGCGCGGTGCCGATCACACCACGCGGTTCGAACTCGACACCTCGACATCGATCACACCACGCGGTTCGAACTCGGCACCTCACCATCGCCGCACACGCGTCGGATAAACATCAAGGGGCAAGTCCTTACTTATTACTAACAACTCATTACTTGCTAACAACTCCTTACTTATTACTAACAACTCCTTACTTATTACTAACAACTCATTACTAACAACTCCTTACTTATCACTAACAACTCCTTACTTACTAACAACTCATTACTTATTACTAACAATTCATTACTTACTAACAACTCATTACTTACTAACAACTCCTTACTTATTACTAACAACTCCTTACTTGCTAACAACTCCTTACTTATTACTTACAACTCCTTACTTGTTAACAACTCATTACTTACTAACAACTCCTTACTTATTACTAACAACTCCTTACTAACAACTCCTTACTTATTACTAACAACTCCTTACTTACTAACAACTCCTTACTTATTACTAACAACTCATTACTTATTACTAACAACTCCTTACTTATTACTAACAACTCCTTACTTATTACTAACAACTCCTTACTTACTAACAACTCCTTACTTATTACTAACAACTCCTTACTTATTACTAACAACTCATTACTTATTACTAACAACTCCTTACTTATTACTAACAACTCCTTACTAACAACTCCTTACTTATTACTAACAACTCCTTACTTATTACTAACAACTCCTTACTTACTAACAACTCCTTACTTATTACTAACAACTCCTTACTTATTACTAACAACTCATTACTTATTACTAACAACTCCTTACTTATTACTAACAACTCCTTACTAACAACTCCTTACTTATTACTAACAACTCATTACTTACTAACAACTCCTTACTTATTACTAACAACTCCTTACTAACAACTCCTTACTTATTACTAACAACTCCTTACTTACTAACAACTCCTTACTAATTACTAACGATTCATTACTTATTACTAACAACTCCTTACTTACTAACAACTCCTTACTTATTACTAACAACTCCTTACTTACTAACAACTCCTTACTTATTACTAACAACTCCTTACTTATTACTAACAACTCCTCCATCATTTCTCATTGCAGGAGGGGTTGCCCCCACACCCCCCACCCCCCCACCCCCCACCCCACCCCACCTGAAAATCCTGGCTCCGCCATTGCCCTCAACCCGGCCCTGCTCCACCACCCGACCCCCCCCCCCACCGCCCCCCCCCCTCTCCCTCCTGGCTCCGCCACTCACGCTGGGCAGCGTGTCGGGTCCGCACGCGCCGTCGGCGAGTAGGCGGTCGCGGATCTCCCACGCGAATATCGAGGGGCAGTCCCTCTTGAGGGCGGCGATGCGGCCGACCACCGCGGGCGTGGCGACGCGCGGCTTGCTGCCGCCGATGGCGCGTGGGCGGATGGAGCCCGTCTCGTAGTAGCGGCCCAGGATCTTGCTCACACAGCCGTTGGAGACCTGGGGACCGCGGGGGCCGCGGGGGTTGGGGTAGGGGCGGCGGCAGTGGGCGTAGCGGCGACATTATCGGGTCGATGAAGAAAGCGGTGGTGGTGGTGGTGGGGGAGGGAGGGGGGGCGATCGGGTCAGTCGTGGGGGGGGGGGGGAGACCCGGCAAGTTCTGTTCTCATCCTGTGTTATCAGCTGCGCTCCTGAAGAAGCGCGCAACTACCGCCAGCTGTGGGATGAATGAAACATAACGCGTAGAGACATGCGTAGGACGGGGGGGCCTGAGCAGAGACCCCGGGGCCGCGTGGGGTCGCATCTCGGAGCACGGGGCAGCCGTACGACCGCTCGTCGCTCCCGCCGCGCGTGGTTCAGGTTCGCTCGATCGCGTTGCATCCGACGCGTGAATCGCGCTGCCTCCGATTCGCGTTACGAAAGCAGCACGCGGCGTTGCAGGAGAACAGTCCGCGTGTGATTTGTCTCGCACGGCCGCACCTCGAAGGCTGTTTCCGTATCGCGGCTTCCCTTGCCCCAATCGGGTCGCGTCGTTACGCTCACACGGTCTCGAACGTTTAAAGCTGTAGCGGTGGCGCTCCGCGTCCTTGGCGAAATAGGGCCTCGCTGCTGCTCCGTAGGAGTCACCTCTTTTACAAAGTCACGCTACCGCTCTAAGTAACTGCAAATAGAACGTGCAACGCAAATGAAAGCGTGTTCATGAAATACAAATGGAAACCCTCGTTTTAAAAAAAAAATAAAGCAGTTGTTCTTTTACGCTTTTGAAAACATCTCCCATGGTGCTTGTCAAGGGGTGGGGGGGGGGGGGGCAACACATAGCTTTGGCCACCAGAGAGGGGCCAAAGCAACCCCCCTGCCCCCCCACGCTGTCACGTGGAGGAGCCATTGGGGGAGGGGCAGGGGGGTGGGGTGTAGATGGTAAGGGCGGTAGCGGGCACGGAAATTGTAAACAAGTCGCGTAAACATATTCTTGGTCATATTCTTGGTTCTTTCGCTGCAATATTTTTTATTATTTTATTGTTTTCCTTCTACGTGACTTTACCGAAAGAACCAAGAATATGAATCCCTGCAGTCACGAAAGCTTTAAATCAAAGTATTCTTGATACTTTCGGTAAAGTCACGTATATAGAAAATAATACGATAAAATTATAAATAATTAATTGGAAATAATAGATAAATAAAATGTATCTCCGCCTGATGAAGGCCACTTGTGTTGCGATCGAAACGTCGTGGGTTTTTTTTTGCTTTTATTATTTTCAACGTATTATTTTTTACTTAGATTAAATTATTATTATTATTTTATATCTACGTGACTTTACCGAAAGAACCAAGAACATGAATTCCTGCAGTCACGAAAGTTCTAAGTGAAAAGGAGCATAAACCACCATCACACGAACTCCAGCGGCTTTTGTTTAAGCCATCGGACAAAGGCGGCGGTCACCGCGTCACGCGCTTCAGATGCGCATTCTGCGGCCGTCTGGAACGCTCTTCTCTCCGATATCAGGAAGTCACTGGAGCCATGCACTTTTAAATCACCATCTATTGGCACGGTTGGCTACGTACGGTGCGAAAGAAGTTCAACGCGCATGGATAACACACCTGTCATATTTTTCATTTTTAAGCCATGGTGTTATTGACAAATGTGTTTTTTTTTTGTCGTTGCTATTAACAGCACGAACGCCTTTCCACCTTAGTGAGCATTCAAAGAGAGGTCACCAAGGAACTGTTCCCCAACGTGTCAAAACCGCTAGACAGGTGTGCTTTGTCTTGAATAAAATATTGTGTTGAAAATTATGCGCTCCCAAGAAGGCCTTATGACCGATGAGATGCGTAAACAAAAACAAAGAGTCCAATATATATCTTCAATACAGGTTTTTTTTGGGGGGTCAGATCGCGTAAGAAAAAAATGTGTCGTTCAACCCGCCACCAACCGACACAGCCAATTAGTAAGATTTGTCACGCGAACAAACGCATGCCGACTCGTTACTAGTACAGCACACCGGTGTGTCGAAGAGTGGCGGGCTTAATGACACATTCATATTTACGCGATGTAACCCCCAAAAAAACCTCCGTAATGGATCATATTGGTCGCGAAAGCCAAACGTGTGTAAATATATTTCCTAACTGGAGAAACGGATGCATGAATGAGGAGTTTCGTCTTCTCACCTACTATGTTCTTTGTGTTTTTTTTTTTATTTCCACCACAACAACGCTCACGATCGTGTGGAGTGATCCCCAGAGGGGTGGCATCCTTACTCTGCTCTTAACGATCGGCACGGCTCAACCACGTCAATACACCGGCGGCTACCAAAGTGAGGCGTGAATGCACGAGCTGTGCCTGCGTGTAACGGACATTCCAGGCGAGATAATATAACAGGGAATGTTGCAGGCGAGCTATTTAATCTTTAATATTCCAGGTGAGATAAAACCAGAAATATTCCAGGCGAGATAATATAACAGGGAATGTTGCAGGTGAGCTATTTAATCTTTAATATTCCAGGTGAGATAAAACCAGAAATATTCCAGGCGAGATAATATAACAGGGAATGTTGCAGGCGAGCTATTTAATCTTTAATATTCCAGGTGAGATAAAACCAGAAATATTCCAGGCGAGGTAATATAACAGGGAATGTTGCAGGTGAGCTATTTAATTTGGAATATTCCAGGGGAGATATTTAATCTTTAATATTCCAGGTGAGATAAAATCAGAAATATCCCAGGTCAGATAAAATCAGAAATATTCCAGGTGAGATAATATACGAGGGATTATTGCAGGTGAGATATTCAATTTGGAATTTTCCCGGTGAGACATTTTATTTAGGAATACTCCGGGTGAGATCTAATTCCCAACAATCCAGTTTCGATGTTGCCATTAGGAATATTGCGGGCGATTCATTAACATTGTGAATATTCCAGGTGAGATGTAATCAATGAATTAATAAATACAGGTGGGCTCTCTCACCTGCAGGAGGCGGGAGATGTCACAGGGCCTGGCCCCACTGTGAGCCAATTCGATGATCCGGTGCCGCGTGGAGTCCGGCAGCGGACGTCCGTTCACGAACATTCCGCCCAGCTGATTAACCCCGCTGTGACCTAATTAATTATCACAATAACAACAACAACGGCAATCAAAATGAGACGTGTGAAATTGTTGCCTCGCTTAAGTGCTTCTCGCCCCCAACGCAGGCGCCACTTGCCTTTTTGATACATGGGCGTCTGTTTACAGCATCGGGGTGATGCCTCGCGTGGAGTCCTCCAACGACACGAGGAGGAGGAGGATGAGGATTGGCCTGGAGACACGTGGAGCAGAAGGCGCACCACGTGTTAGGCAGGTGGGACGCGTAGCGTCGTCATCGACGTCACACGTGGAGCAGAAGGTGCACCACGTGTTAGGCAGGTGGGACGCGTAGCGTCGTCATCGACGTCACACGTGGAGCAGAAGGCGCAGCACGTGTTAGGCAGGTGGGACGCGTAGCGTCGTCATCGACGTCACACGTGGAGCAGAAGGCGCACCACGTGTTAGGCAGGTGGGACGCGTAGCGTCGTCATCGATGTCACACGTGGAGCAGAAGGCGCACCACGTGTTAGGCAGGTGGGACGCGTAGCGTCGTCATCGATGTCACACGTGGAGCAGAAGGCGCACCACGTGTTAGGCAGGTGGGACGCGTAGCGTCGTCATCGACGTCACACGTGGAGCAGAAGGCGCACCACGTGTTAGGCAGGTCGAACGCGCAGCGTCGTCATCGACGTCACACGTGGAGCAGAAGGCGCACCACGTGTTAGGCAGGTGGGACGTGTAGCGTCGTCATCGACGTCACACGTGGAGCAGAAGGCGCACCACGTGTTAAGCAGGTCGAACGTGAGGTGTCATCGACGTCTCCATCATCAGCACCATCACGATCTTCATCGTGGTCATTGTGTCGTCATCATTGTCAAAATGTCTCAATGCGCCACAAACAGGATCGAACATCTGCATATAAGTCTTATATATATACAGACTAATACATATCTCATCATCATGATTCCACGATAGTGACATATAGGTAAGATACCAGTACATTGTGGTATACAGAATACATATATAATGTACACCACAATACCACGATATCGTGGTGTGTGTATAGTGAGGCTAGCTATATTCTGTATATATACACCACTCTGTATATTAACATTATACCACTTTATCGTGGTGTGTGTATAGTGAGGCTAGCTATATTTTGTATATATACACCACTCTGTATATCAACATCATACCACTATATCGTGGTGTGTGTATATTGAGGCTAGCTATATTCTGTATATATATACACCACTCTGTATATCAACATTATACCACTATATAGTGGTGTGTGTATAGTGAGGCTAGCTATATTCTATATATATACACCACTCTGTATATCAACATCATACCACTATATCGTGGTGTGTGTATAGTGAGGCTAGCTATATTCTGTATATATATACACCACTCTGTATATCAACATTATACCACTATATAGTGGTGTGTGTATATTGAGGCTAGCTATATTCTGTATATATACACCACTCTGTATATCAACATCATACCACTATATCGTGGTGTGTGTATAGTGAGGCTAGCTATATTCTATATATATACCACTCTGTACATCAACATCATACCACTATATAGTGGTGTGTGTATAGTGAGGCTAGCTATATTCTGTATATATACATCATTCTGTATATCAACATCATACCACTATATCGTGGTGTGTGTATAGTGAGGCTAGCTACATTCTGTATATATATACACCACTCTGTATATCAACATTATACCACTATATAGTGGTGTGTGTATAGTGAGGCTAGCTATATTCTGTATATATATATACACCACTCTGTATATCAACATTATACCACTATATAGTGGTGTGTGTATAGTGAGGCTAGCTATATTCTGTATATATACACCACTCTGTATATCAACATCATACCACTATATCGTGGTGTGTGTATATTGAGGCTAGCTATATTCTGTATATACACCACTCTGTATATCAACATTATACCACTATATAGTGGTGTGTGTATAGTGAGGCTAGCTATATTCTGTATATATACACCATTCTGTATATCAACATCATACCACTATATCGTGGTGTGTGTATAGTGAGGCTAGCTACATTCTGTATATATACACCACTCTGTATATCAACATTATACCACTATATCGTGGTGTGTGTATAGTGAGGCTAGCTATATTCTGTATATATATACCACTCTGTATATCAACATCATACCACTATATCGTGGTGTGTGTATAGTGAGGCTAGCTATATTCTATATATATACCACTCTGTACATCAACATCATACCACTATATCGTGGTGTGTGTATAGTGAGGTTAGCTATATTCTGTATATATACACCACTCTGTATATCAACATCATACCACTATATCGTGTTGTGTGTATAGTGAGGCTAGCTATATTCTGTATATATATCTACCACTCTGTATATCAACATCATACCACTATATCGTGGTGTGTGTATAGTGAGGCTAGCTATATTCTGTATATATACACCACTCTGTATATCAACATCATACCACTATATCGTGTTGTGTGTATAGTGAGGCTAGCTATATTCTGTATATATATACCACTCTGTATATCAACATCATACCACTATATCGTGGTGTGTGTATAATGAGGCTAGCTATATTCTATATATATACCACTCTGTATATCAACATCATACCACTATATCGTGGTGTGTGTATAGTGAGGCTAGCTATATTCTGTATATATATACCACTCTGTATATCAACATCATACCACTATATCGTGGTGTGTGTATAGTGAGGCTAGCTATATTCTGTATATATATATACACCTCTGTATATCAACATCATACCACTATATCGTGGTGTGTGTATAGTGAGGCTAGCTATATTCTGTATATATATACTACTCTGTATATCAACATCATACTACTATATAGTGGTGTGTGTATAATGAGGCTAGCTATATTCTGTATATATATACACCACTCTGTATATCAACATCATACCACTATATCGTGGTGTGTGTATAGTGAGGCTAGCTATATTCTGTATATATACACCACTCTGTATATCAACATTATACCACTATATAGCGGTGTGTATATGTTGGGGCTAACAGTATTCTGTATATATATATACACACACCACTAAATATATATGTACACATCATACCGCTATATAGCGGTGTATATTATACTATAGATATAGTGGTTACGGTTAGATTTTACACAACGCTGTTCGCTTTGATCGTCCGCGGGACGTCGTTTCAGATGTCCCACGCGACGGCGTTTTGTGGCGTGCGCTTCGCCGACCTGGGCGTGAACCCCAGGAAGAAGGTCGCTCATCAATCAGAGGCCCCCCCCCCCCCAACCGTGTGACGATCACGAGAGCCACGAAAGCCTCACCGACATCATCATCATCAAACATCGGCATCAGCTTTGTCATCGTCCATCATCATCAGCAGCAGCAGCAGCATCATCCACGAGCCAACTCACGTCGCTTGCACGTGCTATTGTTATTGTTGTTAGTGGTGTAATTGTTGTTGTTATTGTTGTTAGTGGTGTAATTGTTGTTATTGGTGTTATTGTCGTTGTTGTTGATGGTCGCTGCATTGAGGCGTCGTGAAAAGGAGAATCTGTTCCGATCTCTCACGGAGAGGGCGTCCACGCATAGCGGACACCGAAGCGGACACCGAAGCGGACACCAAAGCGGACACCAAAGCGGACACCGAAGCGGACACCGAAGCGGACACCGAAGCGGACACCAAAGCGGACACCGAAGCGGACACCGAAGCGGACACCGAAGCGGACACCTCGAATGTAACTTCAAGTGGCTGCTGCTCCACACGGCGGGACACGAGGCAGTGTCTACGCGCACGTTTGTGCATCATCATCATTAAGTATCAACACCATCATCATTAAGCATCTACACGGTCATCATTAAGTATCTACACCATCAACACCATCATCATCATTAAGTATCTACACCATCATCATTAAGTATCTACACGGTCATCATTAAGTATCTACACCATCAACACCATCATCATCATTAAGTATCTACAACATCAACACCATCATCATCATTAAGTATCTACAACATCAACACCATCATCATCATTAAGTATCTACACCATCAACACCATCATCATCATTAAGTGTCTACACCATGAACGCCATCATCATTAAGTATCTACACCACCAACACCATCATCATCATTAAGTATCTACACCACCAACACCATCATCATCATTAAGTATCTACACCACCAACACCATCATCATCATTAAGTATCTACACCACCAACACCATCATCATCATTAAGTATCAACACCATCATCATTAAGTATCTACACCATCAACACCATCATCATCATCATTAAGTATCTACACCATCAACACCATCATCATCATTAAGTATCTACACCATCAACACCACCATCATCATCATTAAGTATCTACACCATCATCATCATTAAGTATCTACAACATCAACACCATCACCATCATTAAGTATCTACACCATCATCATCATAATCATCATTAAGTATCTACACCATCATCATAATCATCATTAAGTATCTACACCATCATCATAATCATCATTAAGTATCTACACCATCATCATCATAATCATCATTAAGTATCTACACCATCATCATCATAATCATCATTAAGTATCTACACCATCAACACCATCATCATCATTAAGTATCTACACCATTATCACCATCATAATCATCATTAAGTATCTACGACATCAACACCATCATCATAATTAAGTATCTACACCATCAACACCATCATCATTAAGTATCTACAACATCAACACCATCACCATAATTAAGTATCTACATTATCAACACCATCATCATCATTAAGTATCTACACCATCATCAACACCATCATCATTAAGTATCTACACCATCAACATCATCATCATCATTAAGTATCTACAACATCAACACCATCACCATCATTAAGTATCTACACTATCAACACCATCATCATCATTAAGTATCTACACCATCAACACCATCATCATCATTAAGTATCTACACCATGAACACCATCATTATGATCACCATCATCATCATCAGCTGCTGCTGCTGTGGTTTGTATGAGGACTAAGCTGTTCAGGGGTTGTGGCCGCAGAAGCTTCGCGGCGGAGACCAAAGCCTCAGGTGAACTTCTGCGTCGTCTTTCGTGACGGGGACGAGGAGGTAGGAGGAGAGAGGACGAGGAGAGAGGACGAGGAGAGAG